CCTCATTATTGTTCATATTAATCAATTTATAAGCGGAAAAAAAGATTTTTATTTTTTTAAAATGTGATTTTACAAATTGTAAAGTCTTTTAGACTAAGGAAAAATCATTATTTTATGTACTAAATATACACTGATCAGTAAAATACAAAATAATAAATGATAAATGCTCCTAAGTTATCATACATGTATTTGTTAAGGATAAATTTTTATGCTTTATTTTGCTTGCTTGGCAATCGATGATTATTTGCCTAATTAAATTAAATACACAAGAATTTCCAATACAAATTAATTAATTATTGCTCAGTGTATAATTAAACAAAAAAATATATATTTTTTTTAAATTTTTAATTGTAAATTACAAGTAATTGTCAGAAGAAATCATAATCATTTATCATTAAATTCATTTTGTTTTTTCAGTGTAAAAAAAAAAAACGGGTTTATAGCTTTAAAAAATTTTTTATAAAAATTTTTTTTTTTTATTTTTCCATTGGTAAATATCTTGGATTATATAAATAATCAAACTTTATTTTTTTTTTGTAAAGGAATTTTATTTGTCGCTTTTAAAAAGTAATTTAAAAGTTTTTTTTATTTTGTTTTATAAAATGTTATACCAAATTTATTTTATTTTTATTTTTTGTATGAATATATATAAATATACGCCTTGCATGTTATTATTAAATAAAATATTGTACTTGTCATAAAATTTTTACAGCATATAAAAAAAATATTATATTAACATTCTTTAAAATTTATATCATTAAAAAATTAATATTATTATTAATTGTCGATTATCAAAATTTTAATTTTTATACGATTAATTTTTTTTCTTATAAAGAGGATTGTAATTGTTTTTATTTTGAAGCAAAAATTTTTTAAAAATCTTTTAAGTCTATAATCTAGTCTATATTTTCAACTAATGATTTACATTTCTAAAATGTTACCTGAAATAATAGTTACTACAAAAAGTAATACTTAAAATTTTTTTTTTTTTTTTATAATAACTTATTTGTAGCTTTAAGTAAATAAAGCAGCAGCATAATTATAATTATTTTTGCTTTAAATTTTTATGACTATAATATTTTATTATTCAATGTCAAATTATATAATTATATATAATTTAAATTAAGTACTAGTCAATTTTATTATATTAGAATTAATAAGTTACTGTTATTTTAATTATTTTATTTTAAAATTACATCAATTATTAGGTTGTGCTTTTTTGGTGAGAGGTTTTTTTTTTTGTTTGCTTTTACGCATAATATTTACTAAATTTTAGCTTCAGTGGTAATGTAAAGCAAGCTTTAAATAACAACAAATTTTAATTTAATTTATGAAGAAAGAATTTTTTTTTTTTTTTTTTTTTATACTAACAAATTACATGGAAATACATGTTTTTATTTTTTTATGATTTAATTTTATTAAAATATATTATTTGTTATTCATTTTCTTTTTTTTTTAAATAAAATGCATAATTCCTAAATTACCTTTTGTAATAAGATATTTTTCTTTTAATACTAAATTGAAGGATTTGTTTTATTTTAAATTTTTTATATAAACATAAATTGTTTAAAAGTTTATTTTATTGAAAAATTATTGATAATTAAAACGACTAAAATTCAGATAAGTTTAAAATTAGTTTTTTCATTACTTTTTGTTCATTATATAAAAAAAAATAATTAAGATTATTAAAAACAACCCTTTTTATTTATAACTTAGGAAAGAAATTTTTTATTACACATTAAGAAACATAGTTTTTTTTTTTAAATTTTTATCGAAGTATAATTTATTTTAATAAATGATATTCATAATTAATTCCTCAAAATTTTTGACCTCTCGTAAGGGTAGATTCAAGGGTTACACAGGTTTTTAAATTTGCTTCCTTGAATTTTGCCTGCACTTCTTTAATATCTACCTCAGGTGCAGCATGCTCTGCTTACTTGTAAAGTCAGCTGGAATAATACCTTTGAAAATATATTCTCCAGCCTAAGTGTGATCTTTTATCTCAATTGGTAATTCACTTGTAGCAGCCAATACTGCTGATAATTCTCTCTTGTCAACATGTAGCGATTTAGCTAGGTCTGACACATTGGCTTTTTCTCTTCTCATAATTGCTATTTTTATTAATATGTGTATGAATAATTTCAAATATTAAATGTCTAAATATAACTAAATCAGTAGATAAGTTATCAGAACTAAACTTAGTATGATCTTCTAAATCAACATTATTGTCTATATTACAACTAATGTTGATATCCGCCACGTCTTTTACGTTAGTAAAAGTACAACTTGAATATATTGTAAGAGCTATCACTGGTTAATGAAGGCACGAAAAATGCACCACAAATGCCTTATTTGAGGTTATGGAAATACAAATATTTGTTGTATTTGTTGACAATATGCAAGTTAACAACTTTCTCAGTCGCATGCATCAGTTTGTCCCTGCACGCTGGTCCGACTTTAAAATTCTGATACTTTGCAGGGAAACTTTTTATTTGTTGTTGGCAAAATTGTTGTTTCGCGTATGGAGGTTGACCGGTAGTAGATGTATTTTCGCGGTTTTTATATTGTTTATGGTCTTGTTTTGTGATATTCGTTCTCGAAAATGCCACCAAAGAAGAAAGATAGAGATAGTGATAGTTCTAAGAGTCGGCCCACAGACCAGTACCAGGCCGATCATGAACTTTTCCTTAATGCTTTTGAGAGTAAGTCAACACTTCCTTATGATAACGAAGTATTAGGCTTCCATTTAGGCCAAAAAATATTTGTATATTATTTTAACTATTTATTTTACCCTTAATTTAAACTTATTTATTGCAATTTTACATGAGTTCCATTAAGAAAAATATAACACCCTTTTAAAATGGTCGTTAATTTAATGACAAATTTTATTTAAAATTTGTATTTATGTCATTTGACGTATAGAGTTAAATTGGGTTTAATTATTTTCTCTTTTGGTTTAAAATTACTTAAAAAATTATTAAAATATTACATTTAAATATAATTTAATCTTATAAATTATTGATTATAAAAAATATTTAATTTTCGTTTTATTGAATCTTAGCTTTTCTATTAAAAAAAAAAAAAAAATCATTAACATCTTTAAATAATGAGTCTCAATAATTAAATTTTTTTCTTTCAGAACCAACTCAAATTTATAGGTTTCTGAGAACCAGAAACATGATCTCAGTAAGTTTTCAAATAATAATAATAATAATAATAATCAATTTTTTCTGTTTACCAAATAGTAAAATAAACAATATAAAAATTAAAATATTTTCATTTATTTTAAAATAAAATTAATGTAGGTTAAAAAAAAATTCATACAAAAATTCTTTTAATATCCCCAAAAAAAAACTAAAATTGATTATTTATTTGCAGCCTATATTTTTAAATAGAACTTTAACTTACATGAAACAGAGAATGTCAAGAGATCATAAAGGTAGAAAAAATTTTAAAGTAAACAATTTATTAGGAAGGTTAAGAGATAAATGCCAGGGAAATGAGTTAGACAATGAAAAAAAATTTTTGACTTTAACATTTTTAGGTTTTTATGACAAAACTTGTAAGTAGGCCATACAGTGAAGTCAGTAATTTATATTTAACATTACAGAATATTATTACTTTTTTTTTTTTTTTTCTTCCTTTTTTTTTTTTTTTTTTAGGTGCATCATATGATGAATTTGTAAAAGTGGAAACTTCTGTAACAAAAATTTCTCACAAGAAAAGAAAAGATAGTTCTTCCCCTTTGGTAAAGGTAACTTATTTCACAAACAATACAAATTATTAATCTCAATGTGAAATTTTTGTGAAATATTAGTTTGCAATTTACTCAAATAATAAATTTATTACAGTTATTTGTTGGTACAAGTGAAGTGCCTGTTAATCCTTCAGAGGATCATCCACCGTCCAAAGCACCAATTATGTCTATTCCTTCAGATTCATTTAGTTCAACAAATGGAAATTTAATTAAATCTTACATTTTATATTTAAAAGTAACTCACAATGAATCTAATTACTATATATCTGTTAATGATGAATTAGATTCTTTAGGTAAGTCGAAAAACATTGATAAATTACTAAATTAACATTACTTCTTAATTACTTTTCATTAATTTTCATTTTTTTTTTTTTTTTAGAATCTGCCTCAAAGAGATGCAGACTGTCAAAAGATGAACCAAAATATTATGGGTCTGAATTAACTGTATATGATAAACATAATCGTTGTTTACTCATGACCGGTGATTACGAACTAGGCCTTCAAGAAATTCAAAATTCGTCAAAGCTTTCTCCAAAAAAAAACAGTCAATGGATAACAATGGATAGTGTGGAAGATGAAGCATTTGAAGTATTTAGTAAAGGTCCTATGATAAAATTTAGATTAGATTGGACGTCGGAACCTAACAATGGTTTCGTGGACCGACCAAAGCCGTTTAGGCCTAACGGCCAAGCTTTAGACGTAGGGGGAAATAAAGAAAATAGACCTGGTAAAAAATTTATTTTAACTTTAAAATTTTTAAAAACACTTCTATCAATGCCGAAAAATTAATTTGGGATTTTTTTTTTGTTAGATAAATGCGTTCCTTCTGGTAATTCAAAAGGAAAAGTGAAAACTGAACCACAAAGGCTGCAAATAGTTTATCAATTTTTATACAATAATAACAGCAGACAACAAACGGAAGCGTGCGATGATCTAATATGTCCGTGGTGTTCTCTTAATTGCATTACTCTTTATTCTCTTTTAAAACATTTGAAACTATGTCATTCTCGATTTACATTCACCTATAACGTAAGTTTTTTTTTTTATAATGGATGAATCAGAGTGGTTTTAGTGAATTAAATATAACATAAACGAAAAATACTTCGCAGCAAATACCCCAAGGAGCTAGAATTGATGTTGCTATCAATGAATGCTACGATGGATCCTACACGGGAAGTCCGCATGATTTAATATCACAGCCTCCGGGATATGCGTTTTCCCGGAACGGACCCGTTCGACGAACATCTGTTACCAATATACTTGTGTGTCGACCCAAAAGACAACGACCGAGCCTTTCTGAATTTTTAGAATTGGAAGAAAACGATTTTGACGGGCAGAGGCCTTACATTACCGGTCACAACAGGTTTATTTCTTTTTTAAATTTTAATAAAAAAAAAAAAAAAATTTGGGATGGTGTAATTTCAATTAATGAATTTACTACAAGATATAAAAACTTTTTGAAAATTCGTCATTGTTTTTTGAATAAATGAACAAATTACTATAATTTTGACAGGTTATATCATCACACAACAACTTGCCTTCCTGTTTATCCGAAAGAAATGGACATTGACTCAGAGGGAGAAAATGATCCTAAATGGTTACAACAAAAGACTATAATGATGATCGATGATTTTACGGATGTGAATGAAGGTGAAAAAGAACTGATGAAGTTGTGGAATCTTCACGTAATGAAACACGGGTAAGCCTTTGAGTTTTCATTGAACACTATTATTATAACATTGGTTTAAATGATATTAATTGACTAATATTTATTTTAATATTTAGTTTTTTTTGTTTGTAAATAATATTTCTTATGTTTATTATTTTATTAGTTATGTTGGAGACTGTCAAATTCCGTTAGCTTGTTTAATGTTTCTCAAAGCGAAGGGAGACGAATTGTTGAAAAAAAATCTTTATCGTAATTTTGTACTACACGTATGCAATCTCTTCGATTTCGGATTGATTAGTTCGCAAACTGTTTACATGATAATTAGACAAGTTCAAGATTTAATTAAAAAAGATCCTGAACATTCTAGACTGTTAAAAAAGACTTGGATGAATCAAAGAAAAAATTGGGTAGCAGCAGCTTTAGGAGAACAAAACAATGGTGAGAAAATCGAGAGAGAATGAAAAGAACTCTCTACTTTACACATGCACAAAAAGAAAACTTGACGAAATTTTTTTTTTTTTTTTAAAGTTGGATCTCGACCTGTTGAAAAACAAGAAGAAATTGTAAAAACTGAAAAAGTCGTAGAAGTAAAAGACGAGGAGGAGGGGGGTGTAAATGTAAATCACGTAAAAGAAGAGGCGGAAAAGGAGCTGGAAGAAATAATGAATGAGAAAAATGGAAATGATGAAGGAGAAGACAAACATGATTCATGAGTAAATGAAATGTCAAAAAAATTAGGAAAACTAATGATAATGCCTTACGATAAGGTAAATTATTGTTATCACCTTTATTTACATTATTTTAAATTATTATTATTACTATTATTATTATTATTATTATTATTATTATTAATATTATCGGAATTGTGATGTAAGAAAAAAAAAATATTGTATTTAAAGGTGTTTAAAAAAAAATTTTTTTTTAATGATTGCACATGAGTAAATGATTAAAAAAAAAATTATAAAAGTGTACTTTCACATAGGTTAGGGACCTTTAAAAATTGAACAAAATGAAAATTTTAAGGTTTGGGGAAAATGAGATAAAGTACCTAGTTGATGATTTAAAGCACGATTGCTATTCTTTTTTCACTAGTCATTGGGATTTTTTTCCTTTTTTTTTTTTTTTTTTTTTAAATTGTTTTGATTTAATCAATGTGTCACTGCCTTTTATTAACAAACAAAAAAAAAATGAAGTTGAAACAAATTTTTCAATGTGCATTCACCCACTGCCTTCGTGTCGAAAAAACCAGAACCTCCTTTTTTTTTTTTTTTTT